GCCCTGCCCCGGCCGGCGCCGGCCGCCCCGGGCGCGCACTCTGCCCGGGGAGAAACGCCGGGCGACGCTCTCCCGCTCCAAGCCCCCGGGTCTTTATTAGGTTTTCCACAGAGCCCAGCAGAATTTTCCAAGAAAGTTGTTTGCCCGCGTCCCGAGTGCTCACACCGTCCCGCACGGTGCAGCAGGCACTTCAAACCGCAGACGGTTATCCCCAGCGCTTCCACGCTGTCGTTTTCCGATAGTGCCGAAGGAGAGAGATGCAGTCGCTGTCCCGCGCCTCTTCTGCCACCTCGTCATTATTATCATAGCCTGTTTATTTTACCCATTCTTCTTTTTTCGCGGAGCCAGCCCTGAAACCCCTTACTCAGGAAAACCTCTCATTGACTTTGGATGATGTTTTCTCGGGGCAATGTCTGCACAGCGCGGATCCCCGTTGGTTCAGCGTTACAATGAGCCTGTTTGCTCAGTACAAAATGCAGTAGCGCACTCGCAGCGTTGGAAACTTGGCTTTCTGCAGCTGGACGTTCTCCATCCTCATTCACAGCTGCCTCCCAGAGCAGATGGGGTGTGCACTGAGGATGGACATTAATACAACTGTTCTCCTTCATAACAGTTGTGACTTAGGGCTGTAACTGATTAGTTTCTGTCTCTCACAGGACTCCTAAATTTTTTTCTTCAGATGTATTCCAAAAAGACACATGCTGTAGATGACTCCTTTCTGGCAATTCATAAGGCACTGAATAGTGGAATTATAAGTGCCTTCTGTTTAGGGTTTTCCAAGACTACTATAGCGCTTTGTTATTGGGCGTACCCAAGAAATAATTTTGTGTTAACTCTGGTATCAGAAGCTAAGTGGACTATTATAGTTCAGCACCTATGTTTCCTTGCATGCAGTCGCATGGCTGTAACCCATATTTCCAGGGATGAGCACATGCATTCATTCACACACACTTTCTTTTTTCTTTCCATTTCGTCTTCTCCTGCATAAACCGTTAACACTGTATTTAACATTGTTTCCCAGAAGAACCAATAAATCAGCTTTTAGGATCAGCAGCTGGCATTCTAGCTCATGGATTTTTTCTTTCACGTCATGATGTCATTTACTACATCCTCATCAATACAAACCTTTAGCTAGAAGCTATTACTGGACTCTTCATTTCTAAATTTTCTAAATGAAGAGTGATAGCAGCATGAGAATCAGGCGAGTCAAATTCTTCCACACAGAGCTTCCCAATCTAAAATATGCATTTGGACCCTCAAGATAGTGTGGTAGTCAGAAGAGGAGAATTATGAAGTGGCTGGGATCACAGTGTAAGCTCATGTAGACTGGTGATATTAACGCTTGAAAGCTCAACAGAGATCAGTACAGAAAAAAAATTAAAAGGGTCTGAGCCACAAGCTGTTTAAACAATTTTAAGAAGTCAGTCTCTACCTAAAAGAGTAAAAAGTTGGTCAATAAGTTTACATGTTGGTTTTTTTTCTACATCAAACTTTAAAAATCAGAGGGTGGGCCTCAAAAACAGTGTGACTGCCCTTCATATTCTGAGTTCTTTTAAAAATAGATCTGGAGCTTACTGTATTTGTTAGTGTTTTTTTCCAGGTAAGTACATTATACTGAGTTCTGTTTGTAAACTATTTTTTGCCATTGTAACAGCTGAAAATACAGAATATTAAAATATGTAGAGTAGAAATTCTTAACGAATCATGGGACTGCAGGAGCTGAGATTTTATGATTTTATCTGATACCCCAAAACTTGTGATAAAATCACTGACACTAGCCTTAGGAATAGGGGGGAAAGATAGAAATGTGCCTTCATCAGCCTATGCTTTCTTGTGTAGACAAGTAAGAAAGGCAGTATAGACAAACTATCCATTAGCTGGTGCAGGAAAGGGTTAACAGCCTGACCTTCAGACAGAAGCTCTTGTTGACCCTACTCTGCAACACTTGGCTGAAAGGTTATGCCCAAAGGGAGAGCTTGCTAGCAGGAGGGAAAAATCCAAAGAGAAATACTTAGGAAGAGAATACTTCAGCTTCAGAGTCTGGTGGCCTGGCAGAAAGCAAACCCTCATAGCAGACAGTACAAGACTGTAGGACTCATCCACTGAAGGAACCAGACACTAAAAAAAGGACAACTGTTAAAGTCTGATTTGTCCATACAATTTCCCAAAAGGTTTATGGATATAAAAGAATCAGTAGTTAGCAAAACAGTTTCGTATCTAGTAATTCAGCTGCTCAGTAGGAAGGTACATGGAGGAGCTACCTAGTCACTGTCTTAAAGGTAGCACAGAAAGTCACACTGTGGTATGGCACCCTGAGCTGCCAGTGGTGTGGTGCTGGTGCCTCTCCTGCAGCGTGCAACAGCATGAGGCACACATGGGAAGGTCTTGTTACAGGAGGGTCCTTGTAGTCCTTGTCTTGAGTTTACAGTCTTCAGGATACTGTCTTCCCTGCTATCCTAGGATTTTCAGAAATGTTTCTTTCAGTTTATCCATTCTCTTCCCCCCCCCTTTTTTTTTTTCCTGGCTTCTGATTTCTTATAGTCCTTAGTACCTTACAACCATTTCTGCTGGTACTTGTGGGTGATGAGTATTGCCAGTGTACCTTGGAACAGCATGAGTTTCCTGACGATATCAAAGGGAGAATGTACCTCTAAAGCCACAGAGTGACTGTCAGGTAGACCAATCCTAAAACCTAAATCCTAAAACCTAAAAAATATTAGGAAACACACATTTCTTGCCTCAGCAAGTGTCATGAACAAAATCCATCTTCGTAACATTTTACATGTTATTTCCGTAAGCTGTTTCAAACTTTATTGTTGCAATTTAGAAACTTTCAGCGTGAATTAATTAATTCATTCCACTGGTGACATAAGCATTTAGCTTAATTATTATTTTTCATCAGTGATTTTATTCTGTTGATTCATACGCTCTCTTAGTCTCCGCTTTACTTAAAAAACAAGCTGAGCTTTTCTGTTCTCAGAGGAAAGACTTTCCTTTCCCTAGGTTATTGTACCTTCTCCAGCAGATGGGCAGAGGAGAGGGAACAAAATATTTTGAGCGAAAATAGGCTTCAAAGTTCCAGCAGGGCATTTCAAAACCTGTTTTACATCCTGTGTTTGTTTTGCAGGGAGTTTCTGCAATGGAGAAGAGGGAAGGTGATAATCACACCATTGATCAGAATGCAGGTCAGAGCATCTTGCCCAGAAGAAATACAGGAAACCTTAGCAACTTGGTAATGTTTCTGTAAAAAAGCAGCTCATATGTCACACAGAATATTGCAGTCTTTCATTCGCTTTTGTCCAGAAACACTGTGTTCCCATCACACTGGCATATCATCAATACTTCTAAAGTCTTATCACAATATTGACATGAAGAGATAAAAAGATAAAGAACATCTCATTCAATTTAATCACAGTCCATGCTAAAAAACACACAGTTTGGGCCAGCTAAAAACTACATGAGGTTAGTTGCTAGTTGCATTTTACCAGATGAGCAAAGCTCTGTAGAAATAATTTGGGATTTTTATATAGGAATATGAAATTTATCATTGGGGGAGTCTTCATAATTGCCACATTGCATTCAGTAAGTTTTCCACATCACAAAAAAAAGTCCAGAAAAAAAATCCACTCCAGCAGCATTTGCCTCTGTAACTGCTTATGCACAGAAGTAGTTCAAGCTACAACTTTCTAATGTGAATTGTCTCACAGTCTGTGAAATACTGAATTAGGCTTTATAGACTATCTCTTCAAGAAACAAGTATCTATAGGTGAAACTTGGTTCAGGTGTGAATCTCAGTTTGTGTAATTTATACCAACTTCTGAGTCTGCAATGCATACACTACACTCTACTTTTCTGCACAGACTAGAGAATAAAAGTTACTTAGGCTACACCTTCACTGTTACAAAGATATGCTTTCATCATCAGATAAACACATAGTAGCTATTCAGCTAAAAAATCCTAATGAAGACCATGCCCTTTAATTTTACTGTGAGGCACTGTAGACAAGTCAGTTAGACATGTGGGAAATGGGCTACCTTGTCTCCAGTTAGGATTTTACAGCAAGAGAGCAGTGTACATTTTTTATCTCTCTGTTAAAACAAAACACCTATGTATCATTGAAGAACACAAGACTTACACCCACTTACCCTTGCATTATTTACAAGTAGTACCTTGTTTGAATTGACTGCTTAATCAGCTTCAATGTAATATTTGATTCTTAAGAATAAAGGCAGATAATATTGCTGAGATAGGAAGATCTCCTGTATCCTAGCAGAACACTAACTTACAACTTTCAAACTACTAGTATTTGCCTTCCTCAAAACGGACAGTGCCATTTTGCTTTCTGGAGGTCTGGACATCTGCCACATCAGGCATTCTAAAGCTGAGGCATTGCAGCATTAGTTCAGTTTTACTTTATATTTCACTGGAATATTAAAGGACTTATATGTTTATTACCTAATGTTAGCAGTTCTCCACCCCTGGACAGCTGTCTGCTGCATCAATTGCAATGACCTGCTGTTGGTACATGTATTTTCCCTTTGTATGTGTACTGATCATGTACCTCTTCCATGAACTATAATTACGGGACAATCTTTAAATATATTATCTCAGTGTAAAACAGTTTATAATATTACACTAAAATTTTGTACTAGCTTAGCTCCTTCTAAAGTCTGTGATAATTCTGCCAAGATCTTCTGTGAAACTAGAATCAAGCCATGCTTACTTGGCAGCAGAAAATTCAGCTTTTTAAACTGAAGTGACTCAGTCTCATAAGTTCTCATAAAAGTTGAGGACACTATTACATTTGTGAAGGAGAGGAAGAAGACCATGGGACTTGATGCTGGAGTTGACGGATGCACAGCTGGTCTAATATGGTGGATCCCAAACATTTCTACTTACATCCTTATTCCCCCAATTCAATGTCATTAAAATAGGAGTGACTGAATGAAATATTTTATTGTCTCGACTCTGGATTCTGTTATTGTGCATATTATTTGGGCTGCATCAAGACTGTAGCTGAAATTTGACATTTGAAATCTGTGGCTCATATCATAAGAAACTGCAATGATGCTTCACATAATGTAATCATTCTTCCCTTGCAGTGTAGTTAACTGCCTGGAATTAAAATCTCTTTTGAAATCACCACAGATAATGAATAACAAATGAGAAATCTATGCTAAAAGTGCCTTGTTCAACTACTGACTATGCTGTTCAAAACATTATGTTTTCAAGCTACCTTGTCTTTAATAGCGTGTATGTTTTGTATATGGTTTCAGTGCCATGATGGCAAGTACTGTCATTACTGAAGTTTTTAATCTTCTCTTGAATTCACTTGGAATTTCCTTTCTGTCCTTCCCAGAATGTGGATATGCAAGTCACCAATCCACCAGAAGCAGCTGCACTTTTTAATTTGCATCAAGCACACCATTTTGGTGAGTTTGAAGACTCTTCAGAACAACACTGCAAGCAGGACCTGTTCCCCAAGTGGCACCTGCCAATAAAGATAGCATCTGTGATCTCATTATTAACATTTATATACACTGCTATGAGAGATGTCATATATCCTTTTATAATCAGAAAGGAAAATGTTTTCTATAAAATTCCAATCCTTGTCATAAACAAAGTTTTACCAGTGGTTTCAATTACCCTTTTAGCACTAGTATATTTACCAGGAATATTAGCTGCTAGTTTCCAGCTGTACTTTGGCACCAAGTATAAAAGGTTTCCCCAGTGGTTGGATAGATGGATGTTATCAAGAAAGCAATTTGGACTTCTCAGTTTCTTCTTTGCTGCGATGCACGCCTGCTACAGCTTATGCTACCCAATGAGAAGATCATACAGATACAAGCTGCTGAACTGGGCATTCCAGCAGGTACGATGGGCATGCAAATGCCAACCCTTCTGTATTCAGAAAATCTTTGTTTTGGTCATTCAAGCAAATCTGGATGGGAGGGAAAGCCATTTTCATTGCCTTCGTTTGATTTTGAAGCAGATACCCACAGAGCACTGTTAAGGGATGGAGGAGGACCTAGTTGTTAAAGCATGTAATAGAGTCAAGAGTCATCACAGCTGCGTCAGTGTGTATTAAATAAGTCATTTTCTTCATTTGGGATTTATTATCTCTCTGTAAAATGCACGTAATTATACCTGCCTCGCAGGAACATTTAAGTATTTGGCACACTATTAGTTTAGCATGGATTAATCTCTGCACCAGTGGAATCTAACTATCTACAAAAAACAAGCACACACCATTTTTAGACATATTCTTTGTGAAGTGAATTAGCCAGCAATGAAGGAGGGCTGAGCTAAATCACAATAATCTGCACTTGCCAGAAACTAAATTTGTGAACACTGATGGCTCCACTATTGGGCTGATCCACACTAACTTGTTAAAAGATAGAATTTCAATCATGCTTCTGAGTCATGGGATGGCAAAGCTCTTTAAGATCCTCTGTGACTAGAGCGTTCCTAATACTTGCATATCGCCTTGAGTGCCATGAGTATTGCAGTATAAGAAATATTCCAATATAAGGTATAGACTGCAAATGTGCATTTTTGTTACCCTCAAAGTCTAATCTAGAGTTTTATTAAAAGCATAGTATGATGTTAGCAGCTTCTTAAGAATTCTCTAAACAGTCAAACTACCCGTTGAAAACTCTGAAATCAGCCTTACCAGTAATCTGATTTGAATGGATTACCAGAAATTTCCTTGAGATTCCAGTCCTCAAGATGAAGAAATGATCATATTTGGGGCATATTATGCCATGGTGATCACAAGCAGCATCAAAGGGCTGTTATAAGTTCTCATAAATAGGAGAAGCTTTGACATCAGTTTATTAAAATCACAACCATTTCATTCATACCAACCATCATATTCAGTACAGCTGAATGTACCAAGTTGTTGTTTTTAAAAAAATAGAGCCAAACAACTATCCTGGCAGGATACCATCATTAAGAATGCCTGCTGAATTAGCTCCCTAAAATAGTGCTGTTAATATATTTCCTGTTGGTATAATCTCCCAGATATGGTATTTAGCCACAGATGGAATTTTTTTGTCAAAGAATAAGATTTCTCCTGCTGTGAAGGCAGGCTAACAGGCCTCAGAAACAGTCTCTCCTGGGCCAAGATGCTGATGAAGTCTAAATTCTTCTCACGTAAACCCACCTTTGCTCTACAGGTACTAGCGGAGACTTTGTCGTCAGAAGTAAATAGCAGTTACATTCAGAGACATTCAAACAAGCAAAAATACTGTGTTTCTTGGCTTATTTCCTGAATATTATGGTGAAAATAGTTGTATTTCACATAAATGGCTAAGTGTGCCAGTCTGTCATTTTAAATATGGTGTTCTTTTGGCAGGTCAAACAAAAAAAAGAAAACGCCTGGATTGAACATGATGTTTGGAGAATGGAGATTTATGTGTCTCTAGGAATTCTGGGACTTGCTTTGCTGGCCTTGTTGGCAATAACATCAATCCCATCTGTCAGTCACTCTTTGACCTGGAGAGAGTTCCACTACATTCAGGTATGCATAAATGTCATTATTGCATGTCATTAGTCCTCATTGTAGGACTGTATGTTATCAACAAAGACCATTAGGAGTTAGAAATATCAAAGGCAGAGGAGTTACTGAAACGAATCTAAAAGTTTGTTCTGTACTCTTTGTTAAATGCTTTGCAAGAAATGCTTGTTTCATTTGTTATTTTGTCAGGAGAAAAGGCTGTCAGGTTCAGGGTATGAAGTGGGAAGAAAGACAACTCCAAACCACTTTTCGCTCCTCTGACCTGGTGACCAGCAGCAGTTGTCTCTTCAGGACCTATTCTTAGGTCAAAGACCTCTGGTGCTGAAGGCATTTCAGTCATCTTCTGGTCATCTTATGTTTCAGGAATGCCCTGTGTCCTGCTGAATTAGGAGTAGGTGGTATTGAACCAGCCAATGCTGTTCCCATACAGCATGGGATTCCACTACACAAGGAGAATTGCTTGTTGCTCCCTTGGAGCTGTTTCGGCAATTCTTTACTGCCTGAGCAGTACCAGGTGGCTGAAAAGTCCAGGAGAAGGCTTCTGCCCAGTAATAAGTGCAAAGGCTTTCCATCTGCAGCATTGTTAGCTTCATAATCCCCTCCAAAAAGGTGTGTTCGGAAAAGGAGACATCTTAGAGCAGATGCATAATCAAATCCAGCCAGTCCTGAGTTTGCTACAGATGTGCTTGTTTCGTTCACCTAAGTATCTGGTTTGCTGTTAGTTCTCCTGTATTATACGCAGTAATAATCAGTGATGGGTTTGCTGACATCAATATGATCACACTAGAGTTACGCAAGTGTTGAATTAGGTCCCTGAACACCAAAATCTGAAAATTCAGTGACCTACCAAGTATTTAGCATTGGAAAATTTGATCTGAATTTGAAAAGTAGATCTGAAATGTATCTCTTCCTACAATTAGTGATATGAAATTCTGCCCACTCTATGAAGTGCATCATTTGTACGAAAAGTTTTCAGCTCTACAGGGAATCTATATGAACAAGTCTAGCACATGGTTGCTTTCAGTGTTAAATTAGCATGGTGAAGAAACCCAGAAGAGTAATACTAATATATTGGATTAGTTTTATAAACAAATAACCTTTATACTTGAAAATCAGATTCTGTAGATTTACGACTTGGAAAGGCAGTGTTTCACTTCACTGATGACTAATTCCATTTTTCTAACAATATCAAGATTGTTATGCAACAAGAAACTCAAAATTACTAGTAACTCTAGCATAAGATTTTCTTTACTCCTGAATTTTGTAGACATCCTAAGCCAAATTTATCACTGTAAGTAAGTGGAATGAAAGACTTCAGTTTCCTGTAGTTTTGCAATTGCTTTTGTCATAGTGCTAGACTTACTAGAGTTTCTGATTTTAATTGACCTTAAAATTTTTCTTTGCAGTCAATTAAGCCACTTATAAATCTGCTTTTGAACTCATAACAATTTATCACAGAAATAAAGTAATTTAGGATACAGATGACATCTATAAATTGAGATACTGAGAACTGACTGTTTTTCCAGAATAGCCCGTGTCCTGGTTTCAGCTGGGATAGAGTTAACTGTCTTCCTAGTAGCTGGTACAGTGCTATGTTTTGAGTTCAGTATGCGAAGAATGTTGATAACACCGATGTTTTCAGTTGTTGCTAAGTAGTGTTTAGACTAAAGTCAAGGATTTTTCAGCTTCTCATGCCCAGCCAGCGAGAAGGCTGGAGGGGCACAAGAAGTTGGCACAGGACACAGCCAGGGCGCCTGACCCAAACTGGCCAACGGTATATTCCATACCATGGGACGTCCCATCTAGTATAGGAACTGGGAAGTGGGGGCAGGGAATCGCCGCTCGGGGACTAATTGGGTGTCGGTCGGTGGGTGGTGAGCAATTGCCCTGCGCATCATTTGTACATTCCAATGCTTTCATTATTGCTGTTGTCATTTTATTAGTGTTATCGTTATCATTATTAGTTTCTTCTTTTCTGTTCTATTAAACCGTTCTTACCTCAACCCACGGGTTGTGCTTCTTTTCCCGATTTTCTCCCCCATCCCACTGGGTGGGAGGGAGTGAGTGAGCGGCTGCGTGGTGTCTAGTTGCTGGCTGAGGGTAAACCACGACAGCCTGTAATCCGTGATCTCTTCTGTATATTAGCTAAGTATCATCGCAATAGTTGAAAAATATACCTCATCTGTTTTCTCTTGCGGTGGCATAGAGGGGTACAGTTAGATTCTTGAATTATAGTTCTTAAATTTTAGTTCAAAGCCAAAGGTCTCTTCTTTGACTAAGTGTGTTGGTTAAGGCCCTTCCTGATTTCCATATTTGCTTAACAGTACTCTTTTTGCCAAGTTGGAAAAAATAAATAGCCTACTATTTTCTTTCTTTTTTCAGAGCAAGATGGGATATTTAGCTCTGCTGCTGTGCACTGTTCATGCACTGGTGTTTGCTTGGAATAAGTGGGTTGATGTTAACCAATTTATCTGGTATACACCACCTTCATTTATGCTAGCAGTTTTTCTTCCTATTGTTGTTCTGCTTTGTAAATGCATACTGCTCCTCCCATGTTTTAGGAAGAGGATAAAAAAGATCAGATGTGGTTGGGAAGCTAACACACAAACCAATCAAACCAGCATGACTTCCAGACTGTAGATCAAATATGGACATTTCCTGTCTATGTACGTAAATATGCTCAAGGCCATGAAATGTTCACTTGTGAGCTCTGTTTTCATATTTTTCATAGATGTGTCTTTTTCACTTTTCATTTCAACTTCAGGAGTATGGGATATATGATGCAATTTGGACCTTTTCTAAGACAGAAGGTGGAAACATTCATTTTACACTTTAATCTATGCAGTGTTCTGGTATTTGATCATTTCTTTCTTCTGACTCACTGCTTTTAAAATCCAAGGGCTTCATTGCCTCAATCGTAATTCTTTTGTAGGCAAAAGAAATCATAAATCATTGCTCCAGATGACCACAGAAAATAAATAAATGATTACACCACAGAACCCAGGAATGCTTTCTGCTTCCCACAGCCATGTTTGTTCCTTTGTTAAATCTCAGTATTATAATGGGACAACAGCTAAAGTATTTATCATCCCATTCCCCCTTATTGCCTGCATCCTATGTTTCACTCTGCAGAATGGGGACCTTGGCACATAAACCAGACAGAAACTGTATTCCCACCAGGTCTTGAACTTAGACAATTGAGCAAGCAGAATTGCAGGGAACTTTACAAGGTAAATCTCTCCTGAGGCTTGGGCACAGTCTAAAAAAAGAGTTTTTAGACTCAGATCTCCATTTTATACAGAACTAGGTGTGTCTCTGTTTACTTAAAACGATAAAACATTTCCCACTTTTTATTCCATGAACACATTCTTTTGTTTCTGATGCTGGAAATTTTCCATGCTTTTGACCTAAGCCTGCAGCCCTTGACATGTGCTAAACTTTCTTCGCACAAATTATTCCAGTGGGATAACTCATGATGTCAGGTAAATGTGTTTTACTGTTTACTCTAGGGCCAGCACAATTGTGTGACTGGAAGAAAAACATTAAAAATAGACATTTGAATCTTGACATTGATTTGGTGACATTTTCATGTAAAATGGCTTATGAATGTATTTGCTTTTACAAAAAATTTCATATATGCTAATTAAACCTCATTTTCCTTAGGTTGCATAGGTCTGGCTGAATGTTTTAAATGATTAATTCATTTGTTAGTATCTATTTTTAAATATGCAGTAGTTAATATTTTCACCCAGCATCAGGAACATTTCTGCCATTCTCCCTGCATGAGTTGACTAAGACCTGGACTGATGATGCTACCTATTGCTGGGATCATCTGAATGAGGATTGTAATTGGTAATGGCTCTGGTATTAAAACAAACAGGAAAACAATGTAGGTGTAAAAAAATATGTAATACATGGTGTTAATGATTCTGCAGCTAATGATTCTTTTGTACGTTTGTGGACTTTGTACACTGAGTATAAATAACAGACAAATTTAATAGCTACAGGGATACTACATTTTGTATTTTCCTGGTTATAACTCCATTCAGTTATTGCAACTTAAAAGTTGGCCTTGTTATTTGCACTTAATGTAGTACTGTGAAAATAACTGGGGACATGGTGGCCTGTATAGTATAGACTGAAGAGAAGTGAGTGGCATTATGTATGAAATCAGTAATGCATGACAGAGGCAAACACTCTCTAAAACACAGAAAGCTAGTCTGCAATGTGAATCTTAAGAAATTTCTAAAACAGAACGGGAAAAGTATGGTTGTCAATGCATTAGCATTTACATTTCTATAAAACAAATAAATAAAATCTTTTAGAAGTCATGTTAGGGATGAAGAATAATATTTGCCAAAGGCTTATTCAGAATATTACCTGCACTTTGTTGTTGGGAGTCATGAAAAAATTAATAAAATCATTTTTCTAATGGAACAGGTTGAGGCAAGTGCAATGATAAAGAAGTCCCTTTATCTTCTGTATTATCCACTACCTAGTCATAAAGTGTGCTCAAACTTACTACCTAGGACAAAGCTGAGACTGTAAGTACTCCAAGCAACCCCTGTATACATCCGTTGAAAAGAATGATATTTGGTTTTATTGAAATATGTGTTAAATTGTGCTCTCCAGAATCAGCCCTGTTGTTCCCTTACTTAGAAAGTCTGGAGAATTTAATTCAATCTCCAGCTTTGTTAAATTCTGATCGAATACTTGACCTAATTTTTTACAGCTGATCAGAGAAGCCAACCCTTTGACACAGAGGAATATAAACAGCTTCAGGGGTATCAAAGCATGTGGCATAGAGAGCAGAACCTGATCCTTTGTAACTGAAAAGAGGTGAATGACAGCACTTCTTGGAAGAAGCCATTCAAAGCTATTCATATGGCATGTATAAAAACAAAATCAGGGCAAATTAATATGTATATGCATTTAGAGAGCAAAGTAGTTCAGGGGAATGATAATGGGCTTCAAGACTTCACTTTATTATCACCAGTACCAACTGAAATCTTTTGCACAAGGGCTGTGTTATAGATCAGCTAGATCAGTAAGCATTGAGTAGAGGAGTCTGGTCAATATGGTTAAGAAGTTAATAGAAGCTGGAAGTTAAGATTCTGTGCCTTTGGAGTCTGCAGCTTACTGCACAGCAGTAGGATTTAGGCCACTAAGTAATTTTTAAAAATGGGACTTTAATTCCAAAGTTGGTTTGGCCCTTCTGAAATTTTTGCCCAGGTTCTTAAAACATTCTCTCTCTGAATCTGTAAGATATTGTCTAATTTGGAGACTGACAGATCCTTATTGCAAAAATCACTATAGGTACTACTGCTAGAAAACAGACCAAGAACTCCATGAACATGTAAATATAGTATCTATATTCAACATTTCATAAAAAGTTTTTGAGCCATCTGTTCTACTACTTTATCTAAGCAGCAGGAAGGAACTGTTGTCTGTACCATTGTATTTAGTGCATAAAGTCAGAACAGGGCACGTCACAAGCACAGAACTCCTTTCAGGAAGTACTAGAGAAAATGTATGTAATGTACATCTTTATTTGTCTTCTATTCATGGTGCAGCAGTGATAAATTTAGATTCATCCCACTTCAAGTGGCTGAGAAATCATGTCCTAATGAAGCGTTCTACTGTAATACCCTGCTCTCTGCACTTGTTACACACGGTAGTGCAAATTAGCATAACTTCATTAATTTCAATCTGTTAATATGGGTTGAAATCCTAACATAAATTACAGGTGAAAACCAATTTCAAGATCATCACATACTATCCAAACTGACCTTTTACACTCATCGTTCAGCTGGGGACATTAAGCACACTTCAGATTTTTCTCTCTAGCATTGCCCAGGGGCATACCCAGAAATGTCTTCTACCAGCTGAAATTTTCATACTGTCTATCAAAGTTATTCCTAAAATCACACATGACATCCAAACATTCAAGCAGGTTTTTCCCTACTGATTGTCTGAAGTAGGAGCCAGGTTTTCTGTGTCACAGCTAGCAATTTCTCTAGAAACCACCACTGGATGCTTACAGGCAGAATTTGAGACCTCATATCAAGTCTCTTCCCTGCTTTTAAGTCTTTAGTAAACTACTTCTAAGTAACTCACTTCCCAATCTGCAGAACTGGAGCAGTAACATTTTACAGGACATTGCAACAGTATTTTCAAGCTTTTAAGGCATTCAGATACAATAGTGAGGGGGGAGGGTCATGTAAGGTCTATAAAGGGCTATGGAAGAAAATGCTATTGACAGTATTTTTTTTCTTCCTTTGTAATAGACATGATTTAGTTCAACACAAAATAACTGCATATGTTCCTTTTAGTTTATGTTTATGTACCTATTTCAAAATTCAGTGTATTAATATGCCTATATACTACTGTAATACATAAAATCAACATGTGTGCAAATTTTAGGCACTTATTTGTATACCATTGATTACTTTTATAAAACTGTGCATTATTAAATGCTTTAGTGTATGCTGTAGCTGCCATTGTGTCATATACATCCAGGGTATAAGAGTAAAAAGGCACAGTAGACTCTAGAAGAGCTGCTGCCATGAACCATAAAAACGGCTTCAGTCAAGGGAAACCATTCTCCCCATGCTGGTGCAGAGCCTGGAGTCTCCAAAGGAGAGAAGACAAAGATGTGAAAAGCAAAATGGACACTTTCATAGGGGGATGTAATGAAAGCACATTTTTCCTGACAGATCTTTTAACTGACAGACTGCATATTCTAGCATTCAGAGGAGATTTTGTGAGAAGGAAGAGAAAGCTGAGCTAGTTGTGGAGTGCTTTGGAGGGAGACCTATGATCCCTGAAAACACTGATCGAAGACCAGGAAAAGCTCAAGAATGGTGAGGGCATAGAGTAGAGGAAAGGAATACAGGCATATTTTTGAGTAAGAATCCATCACTCTCGTGTAAGTGGTTCTGCAATGCCTCTGCGAAGGCTACAAAGTACTTCCTTCAGTTGTTGTATGTCCCTGATGTATTTAAGTCAGAGAAAATTGAAACTCTGGAGAGACACTCATAAATTGTTGAAGGGACTTGAGGAATTTTATGCCAAGTTTACCTGGGGTAGTCAGATCCCAGAATACTATTCTCTAGAAGTGGTACAAACAATCAGTGCCCAGAAAGCTAGAGCCAGGGCTGTGCTGGCTATAGTTTAACGTAAATTCCTGTTGACAGCAGCATTTACTGTAAGCAGTCCCTCCCTTTGGCCACCCTTCTCTGTTCTCTCAGTTCTGCAAGTGTTTAAAGCTACAGAGTTAATCAGACCAGGCAATTGGATCCAGCTGAAAAGTAATGCAGGGAAAAGAATGATTCAGCCAGATCCATACACTGGTCTCATTCACCTGACAGCCACGCACATATGCCAGCAGGAAGGACAGGAAGAGGAATGGCGTAAAGGGGCAGCTTAACTTAAACCAGCTTAAACTGCACAGTTGCAAGTGCTTCTAAAATTCAAAACTTGTTATTTCATCCTATTTCAGCAGCAAGAATATTTCATTGCTTCACTTATTTGTCATGTTCTTAGTTTTCCATGAATCACTAGGCAAAAATGTGTTCTAGAAATTGTCACCAAAAACATACAAAACTGACTGACCTCTACATGACTGTGGACTGCGTGGCTTCATTTGTAGAGATGATGATCTCACGTCTTCCCTTCTTTTCTGCTACATCCATGGTTTCTAGTACAGTCCCTTGATAACATGAAATGTTATGTTAACCATTTTTGAAATTCAGACTAATTTCTGTTAAGCTGATTTTGTTAAAATGGCATTGAGAGAATCATTTAAAAGAACAAAACAAAACAAAAAGACAGATTTTTTAAAACATGCGGAATCCACCCCTGGAGAATATAGTCTGCTGTCGTCACTGTAAGTGTCTGGCAAAGGCTGATCATTGCCACTGATTTTTTTCAGTAGTGGCAGGATTTCTTCATCCCATCAGCATGCTTTGTTGCCGATGGCAAAATAATTTCTTTTGGTGAGACCTTGGACTCTTTAAAAAAATCTTATTGAATTCAGTTGCATCAGAGTTCAACTTCTGCATCATTGTTTGAACTTTTCCGTAGATTGAATGTCACATTTGAGTGGGGG